AATGCACGCGCGGCACTTGCCGTGCATGTGCATTCCGCTCCACTCGGGAGCCGACGGCGGGGGAGGAGAAGTCACCAGCGCCGAGGGAGCCTGGCGCTGGATTAAAGTAAGTAGCTGAAGGGCTTCTACCCCATTCAGCGCCAAGGAAAGGGGGACCCTGAGGGAGGGGGGGTCCTAAGGATGCTATAGTGTCAGGAAAAAGAGTTTGTTTTCCTGACACTATAGTGATCCTTTAATACTGACTTTTTAAAACTGTGGAAGTTTATGTATTTACATTTTTCTAACCACTTGTTTTTTTTTTTGTTTTTTTTTCGTATTTCATACTAGATGTTTTGGATCAATTAGGAAATTTTAGATTTGTCTTCAGTGCTGTGGAATATGTTGGCGCTTTATACATACCAGTAATACATGAATACATAAATGGACACTAGATAAAACAAACCTGTGTGTGTGTGCGCACGCGCACTCACATCTGCACAAGTTATAGGTATTTAAAAAGCTATCCAGGAGTTGCTTTGTCAAAACTAGTTATTACTCCACTAATCTTATTATACAGATCCTCATAATATGCACTAGGGCAGGCATAGGCAACCTTTGGCACTCCAGATGTTTTGTACTACACCTCCCATGATGCTTTGTCAGCATTATGAGTATAAGAGCATAATGGGGGATGTAGTCCACAACATCTGGAGTGCCGAAGGTTGCCTATCCCTGCACTAGGGTGACACATGTCTTCTGTTCTTAGTCTGCTACACACCTCATTTATCACCTTAGTCTGGTATATTGTAAGCTGTCAATGCCTACTGTATTTGTCTGTTTCTTTTTCAAATAATTTTTATTAAAGTTTTAAAATTTTGTATAACAAGTGAAAATAATACAAACATTGTATCAGGGGTAGGAAAGGAAGGGTAACTTGGAAATTGGAAGGGGTATCCATCCATCATTGAAATAAACATAATGTATATGGCAAAGATTTTGTACATCAATGCACTTTAACAATAAATATATCAAAGACCATAAACTGTTTTGATTTTTTTTTCTTCCCATTTATCCCAATTATATTTTAATATTGGGAAACCATGCATATTGGCTCTATGTGATAATTTGTGTGCCTTGTTTTCTAGAATCAAATTAAAAATTTCTCTGAGAGATGGCACATTTTGGGACTTCCAATGTCTAGGTAAACAGGATGTAGCAGCGATCAGAATGTGGCCTATGATTATTTTATCTGAACTATTAACGGATTCCGGGAGTTTTTTAAATAAGGCTGGTTCCGAATTTAAGATGCTAATGGTTCTGTTCACTTTAATAATTAGATCATGAATCATTTTATTTGTCTGTTTCTGTCTGTCAAGCTGTGTTTTGATATTATATATGTTACACATCAGATGTTGCTGATGGATTTGACCATGACGTGATAAAAACCAAGATTTAAAATAAAAGTGGTAGCCGGATTTGGGATAAGAAAATAGGTAGGTAGTTTTATAAACCAAGGTCAATGAATTGGCATAAACATGACACGCAAGCAACCAGTAAAGGTTAGGCAAATAGTTTGTGCTAATCGTTAGATAAACACATGCAAGAGGCAGACTGCATCACAGCACCTGCATATAGGTTTACATTTTAAATGCTGGCACCTCCAGCAAAACTATGGGAACCTGCACTATTTGGCTCATTGTAAATTCATTGTTCATGATTAATTTAACATTTATCAATGTGTGCCTGTGGAATCAATCCTTAAACACAGTCTTCTGGTTTATGTCTTTTATTATGTTTAATTAACAAATTAAAGTCCTTTTATAAGGAATACTCCAGGCACCATAAAAACCTAATCTCAATGAAATTATTCTGGTTCCAGGATGTCCCATAAGTGGTTAAAGGACCACTCTAGACACCCAGACCACTTCAGCTTAATGAAGTGGTCTGGGTGCCTGGTCCAGCTAGGGTTAACCCATTTTTTTATAAACATAGCAGTTTCAGAGAAACTGTTATGTTTATAAATAGGTTAATCCAGCCTCTAAAGCCTCTAGTGGCTGTCTCATTGACAGCCGCTAGAGGTGCTTGCATGCTTCTCACTGTGAAAATCACAGTGACAAGACGCAGGCGTCCATAGGAAAGCATTATAAATACTTTCCTATGAGACTGGCTGAATGCGCGCGCAGCTCCTGCCGCGCATGCACATTCAGCCGAAGCGGAGGAGAGGAGGAGGAGAGCTCCCCACCCGGTGCTGGAGAAAGGTGAGTGTTTAACCCCTTCCTCTCCCCAGAGCCCGGCGGGAGGGGGACCTATGATATATGGTATGTTTTCCTGGCACTATAGTCAGGGCCGGTGCAAGGATTTTTGCCGCCCTAGGCAAATGTAGAACAGGATCTCTGGAGGCTGTTTGTAACTGTGGTCCCAAAATTCAATGTTCTGGGAGAACGGGAAGCAGCTCCATTTTTTGGGGCCTCTTACATAGCTCAAGGTCTGGGCCCCAGGGCCTGACGGTGAGTATGCCCATAAAGCCCACCCATAAGTCCACCTACATGTTCCACCCATGAACTCGCAGGGAGTAGAGTGTGTAGGGGATGTGTTATGTGTTACTGTAGAGGATCTAATGTGTGTGCTTACGGAATGTAGTGTATAGGGATACCAGTTTGTGTAGTGGAAGCAGTGTGTTTTTGTGTAAGGGATAGAAAGCAGTGAGTGTTTGTGTATAAGGGATGTATTGTGTGTTTCTTGTTGTGTGTAAGGGATGCATTGTGTGAATCTGTGTTTGTATGCATAAGGGATGCAAAGTGTGTTTCTGTGTATGTAAGGGATGCAGTGTGTGTGTCTGTAAGGGGTGCGTTGAGTGTGTGTAAGAGATGCATTGTGTTTCTGTGTGTGTGTGTAAGAGAAGCAGTGTGTGTTTGCATGTGTGTGTAAGGGATGCATTGTGTGTTTCTGTGTATATGTGCAAAGGATGCATTGTCTTTATGTGTAAGGGAAGCATGATGTGTTTCTGTGTGTATAGGGATGCATTGTGTGTGTGTGTGTGTGTGTGTGTGCGCGCGTGGTGTGAAAGAGCTCCCTGTCCTATAGAGCTCTCCCTTCCATTCCTTAGATATCCCCTGACCCTTAGTGGTCTCTCCTCTCCCCCCCCCACCTCCCTTAGTGGTCTCCTTTTCTCCCCGACTTTCCATTAGTGGTCTCTCCTCTCCCCCCACCCTCCCCTAGTGGTCTATCCTCCACCCCCCTCCTTTTAGCGGTCTCTCCTCACACCCCTCCCCTAGTGGTCTCTCCACCGCCCCCTCCCTCCTTTAGTGGTCTCTCCCTCCCCTACGTTCTCATCTCCCACCCCTTGTGTTCTCCTCTTATTTCCCCCCTCCCTGTGTTTTCCTCTTATTCCCCCCTCCCTGTGTTCTCCTCTTCTTCTCCTCCCTGTAATCTTCTCTTCTTCTCCTCCCTGTAATCTTCTCTTCTTCTCCCCCCTTCCCTCCCTGTAATCGCTGCTTCTCCCCCCGTAATCTTCTCTTCTTCTCCCCCCATAATCTTCTCTTCTTCTCCCCATCAATCATCTCCCCTTCCTCCCATCAAATCATCTCCCTCCCATCAATCATCTCCCCTATAATGCAAAATTTAAAGGGCCGGCGATGGGGGCGCAGGGCGCCCCCTCCTATATGGCGCCCTAGGCGGCTGCCTAGTTCGCCTTATAGGAAGCGCCGGCCCTGACTATAGTGGTCCTTTAAGCCGTTTATAAACCTATTAACCTTCAGAGTTATGAAGATGGCGCCTGTCCTCTCGTCCCCTTTCCTTCCAGAGAGGGTCCAAATCTTAAATCAGGAAGGCACTCATTGAGATGAAGTTGTCCTGAATGTTCCTTTAACTGATTTCAACTCTGTCACTTTACATTCATTTTTATTTGACTGACTTAGTGTATGGCTTTGTAAGACAATTTGTGCTTTTTACAAAAAATAAGTCTTCCCCTTTTTTATAAAGCTATTTTTAAACATTGCATAGGTTCTACAATGTGTCATTCTTATTTTTTTATTGCCTTGTTTGTGTTACTTTAGAAATAATCAAAGTATCAGTTGAAATAATTTTGTGTTTAGGAACAATATCAAATTCTCTTTCACGTACTCCTTTTGTAAATCAGCATACCAGAACATAAAAATATTATTATATGTTTAAAATTTAAAGGGACACGCAAAGCACCTGGACATTTTTCAAGCATGTTAATGACAATTTACCTTGCTTTCTCAAGATTGTCTTGTCAGGTTATAAAAAGAATAATCATGAAAATACTGTAAATTCTGCGTGCAAATCTTCCAAAATTGTCCCATCTTTAGTTTAACTTTTTAGCAAGAAATGGACTGCTGAATGGTGCAGAATGTCCAGGGTAATGGTGTGTGCAGTTACACTGGTAAAGCTTGCATTGCAGCCAGTGGAACTTCCCCCGGTGCTACTCAGAACACAACAAAGCTTTTATTAGGAGGTTATTGTGTACATGTGTGCTTGTTGGGTCATAGAACTTGTTTGCATCACAACCTAATATTTTTTTTTTTGCACATTTTCTATGTCCGGTCAAGCGTTAAAATTCAGACATGCCAAGTCTGAAATCATGAGGGTTGTGGGGGTGACTTACGTACGATGTATTTACCCTAAAAGCCAGCCTGGTGGCTACTTGCTAAATGTTCTGAATTAAATGCACAGTCAATGAATGTTAAATCAGTCACTGTCAAGATATTGGCGGGAAGGCGGGGGGGGCTGTGTGCAGATCATGTAATATCATTAGATTATTTGACTTGACACATCCGAGTACTGGGTGTCCCTTCCAGGCCTTTAAAATGTAGTGACAAAACCAGTATTAAATAAAACCACAACAGAAATGGGTTATGTGGTTTAGAAACACAATGTCTTAAAGTCTATTTAAAATGCTGAACGGTAGAGATGTCGCGAACCGTCCGCGAACTTCTCGCGAACGGTTCGCCACGAACTGTTCGTGGCGAACTCTGGTCAGCTGACACATCCCGGCCAATCTCCAGCAGACCCTCCCTCCCAGACCCTCCTACTTCCTGGACAGCATCCATGTTGAAGTCCAGGAAGTAGGAGGGTCTGGGAGGGAGGGTCTGCTGGAGATTGGCCGGGATGTGTCAGCTGACCAGAGTTCGCCGCGAGAAGTTCGCGGACGGTTCGCGACATCTCTACTGAACGGTTGTCTATATTCCTAAGGGCTTGATCTCTGGTCAGTTTTTCCATGTTTCAGTTGGGCCAGCGCCGTTTGTAAAGGTTAAAGGGTCACTGTAGGGTCAGGAACACAAACGTATTCCTGACCCTATAGTGCTAAAACCATTTAGGTGGCTTGCCCTCCCTTAGCCCCCCTATAAAAATTTAAAACTCACCTTATTTCAAATGCCGCCCGCTTTGTGACATCATCAAAATGGCCGATTTTTAGCCAATCCAATGCTTTCCCATACGGAATCAGTGCATCTTTATGAGGAAAATTCAGCGTCTCCATGCAGAGCATGGGGAAGCTGAACGTCAGGGCTACCAATGTGCAGCCCTGAGCCAGGAAGCCCCTCCAGTGGCCATCTAAGGAGTGGCCACTTGGAGGTGTCCCTAGGGGCAATGTAAACACTACCTTTTCTCTGAAAAGGCAGTGTTTGCTTGAAAATGCCTGAAGGGAGCTATTATACTCACCAGAACAACTACATTAAGCTATAGTTGTTCTGGTGACTATAGTGTCCCTTTAACATTTTTTGTGACTTTTGAAGTCCCCTTAATGAAACTTTTTTTGTTATACCTGGAGGCCTTGTTAGTTTGTTCTTGGCCAGTGCAGTGAAAGTCAGAAACTGTTTAATCTGCTCTACCAGTTCTTTTATACTACTTCATTAGAACATAGCTGAACCAGTCTAACTGGATCCACACTGATAAAATCATAGATAGCAGCAAAAGGTAAGGGTTCCATGTTCTGGGATTTGGACCAAAACAATTTCTGAGAATTAAAGCAAGACATTTGATCTTGTAAGATTAAACACAGGGCTATTGTATGTCCTGCAAGTGGCAGTAACTGCTTCATTATACAGCTCAATGTATATTCTGAGTCTACAACAAATAGATACTTTTATTGCTGTCTTCATTGACAACACAAAGACACCAACGGGTAGAGAATGAGATGTAAAGCAAACACACAAATCTTTTGATCCACTGAATTTGTACACATAGGGTTCTCACAGTAGGGTAAAATATATGGAGTAAAAAATAATAATTTTCATGGAAAACAATTTCCACAAATTATTTTAGTTTCCCCCTTTTGCTCTGTATACTTCAAACCTTGTATGTACCATTATAGACCAAATGCTGTCACCTTCAACATGCATAGCATACTTCTGTGAATGGAATGACCGTATTACACAAAATACACATGCTTTTTTCCAAGTAGTTGGAATTTTAAGGAGTAAGATGTAGAACAAGGTGGTTGTTGTTGTTTTTTTTTTTAACTAACTGCATTATTTTCAATGACAAAAATAAACATTTTAAAGGGACACTATAGTCACCAGAATCCCTACAGCTTAGTATAGTAGCTCTGGTTTCTATAGCCTGTCCCTGCAGACTTTCCAATTTAAAAACTGGCTTTTCAGAGAAAAGGCAGTGTTTACATTGCTGCCTAGTAACACCTCTATTGACAGTCACTCAGAGTGCTACTAAAGGTCCTTCTCTGTCCAGTGCTGCACAGTGTGCAGCACCTACATTCAGCTTCTTCACGCACTGCATGGAGGCCCTGAATGTTTCCCATAGATATGCAATTATTCAATGCATCTCTATGAAGAGATGCTGATTGCCACGCATGTGCATGGAGGTGGAGCCAGCCAAAGCAGGACAGGTACAGCTTGGGGGGGAAATGTTAATAAAACGCCTTTCCCATGCAATCGGAGGGGAGCTTGTCACCTAAACAGACAGACAGAAACAAACTCAGTCACACAAATTCAATGGAATACACATATTCAGAAACACACATACTCACTGACAGACACACACACACACATTCTCTCACACACTCGCAAATTATTAATTGATATTCTAATTTAAGTATACCCAGACTCCCTAACTTTGGTAAAGCTGGAGAGGATAATTTCCCTGGAGTCTAGTGTGGCTGCTGAAATCTTAAAGTTCTTCTTACTTTGCACTGTTATGTGCCATTTAGTGATGTTGGGCCTGGAGGGATGTCATATCCCTGCACCCGACATCACAACAGGAGCAGAGTAGGAAAATTTCAGCTTCCTCACCACCCGGCGCTCTACTCTCGCTCAGCCGGCTGTCTCCACTGTACCTTGCCGCGGGGCGGGCTGAAAAATCCCAGGTGCCAGGACAAAATTCCTAGTCACCACAGCGACCTGATCTCTGGGATTTGAAGAGACCAGCTGTAGTATCTTTGTAAATCTTTGGTTATCAGTCACTTTGTGACCTTAGATGCTCTCTCGGTGATATACATGTACACGTCATCCAGTGTTGCAATGTCATTACTTCCTGGCTAAAATGTGCAGCAATGCATGAATAGATGTATGATTTATTTAATTAGTTATTTATTGTGGTACAATTATAAGAAGGAATAGAGTGTGAACTCATGGTGACAGTGCAGAGCAACATTTAACTGGTATAAGATGGAAGACACGGAGATGCCATCTCATCTAACACAGACAAAAGGAACAGTGATACAGAGCTAGCAAATGGTCCCTATATTCCCTCCACTAGCCAATGATGAGAGCCATCATACCAGTGGAGAATTGCTTGTGATATGGGGCCTCTGCCGATTTATTTTTACCCCAGGACTTTGTGATGGAGAATGCAACGAAGGCAGACAGGCATAAAGAAGATAGGATAATTGAGAGACAGACACACATGAGGGCCAGTGAGTTAAAAATAGTTGGGGAAAAAATTGTTGGACATAGAGGAGAGGGAAACTGATAAACAAACCAGTTTGTTCACATTTGGAGTGTGTAAAAATGTCTGAGTAATTGTCTGTGTTTGTAAGAGTGTCTATGTGTGAGAAGTTGTTTTCCTTGTCTTGTGTCTGTGAGTGTATGAAAGTATTTGTAAGCATGTACTAGTCTTGAAAGTGTTTTTTGAGTGTGAGGGTAAGTATTCCAGAATGTGCTGGAGATAGTGTCTGTCTGTTGGAGCAAATGTAAGAATGTCAGTGAAAGTATGTGTCTAATGGTGTCTGTGTAAATATTTGAGAATCTGTTCTAAGTGTTTGTTCTTTTATCATTATTTGGAAACAAATATCTGTAATTTGTATCTGAAATTGGTAGAGAAAATGTTGATTAGATCAATTTTATTTACTTTTTTTTTACTTTTTACTTTTTAAAGCACCAGTTTTAATTGAGAAAACCATTCACGTTGACAGACTGCAATGTGCTCATTTTGGCAGTTCATCCAATTTTACATGGAACTTATAATACATGGCTTTTTATCTTCATATTTTGTGCATAATGAAAATACTATTTGAAAAAACATTTTAATGAAAACCAACTAACTCTTCATCTTACAACTTCCAGACAAAGGCCATAATGACATTATCCATGGCATAGTTGAGTCAGCTGGGTTTGCCCTGGCTGAGTCTGAGCACGTACGTTGTTATGATACCTAGAGTGTTCCTTTAATTATTCAAAATGGTAACACACATTACCCACTTTAGTTACCAGAGACAAGCTGTTTTTATACTTCATTAATGACAAAATGTACAACAATAGCTTTGCTATCATGATAAAACTAAAACATTAAAGGATCACTATAGTGTCAGGAAAACAAACTTGTTTTCCTGACACAATATCATCCTTAGGACCCAGGATGAGTTCACACGCAAGAGCCACACGTGCATTCAAACAGTCCATAGGAAAGCATTTCTCAATGGACGTTCTGAACGCTGGATGCGATTTTTCACATCCAGCTTCGCAGAAGCGCCTCTAGCGACTGTCAGTAAGGCAGCCACTAGAGCCTGGATTAACCCTGCAATGTAAACATACAATGTTTACATCTGAAGGGTTAAAACTTGGGGGACCTGGCACCCAGACCACTTCATTGAGCTGAAGTGGTCTGGGTGACTATAGTGTCCCTTTAATGTGATATAAACACATGACTGTTGCTTGTTAATTTATAGCCTGTAGATAATTAACATTTCCAGGTTTCCTTTGAGTAATGTACTCACAAGCTAACAAATAGCTCCATCTTGTGAGATATTTCAAGTATGCAACACAATCAAACTGCTTTGCCATAGCTGAAATGCTTAAGAAGAGATGCTGAAATCTCCTAGCATTAATTTTGGTAACGTACAGTTTGTCCTTTTTTTAGTTTTTTAAATTCTTTATTTTTGTTGTGCATGTAGTTACAAAAAAGGCATAGTAGTACAATTGTATGGCATAACATTAATGCACATTTTTAATAATTATAGGATGAGAAAGATACAGTGCATGGCTTTAAAAACCCAAATAAAAGAACCAGGTTAATTAAATGCACTGAGTAGCTTAGAAATAACTGAATGTACCACTGGATAGGATTGTTATAAAATTGCTAAATGTGGTAAGGAAAACAAGCTAGTTGATTGGATAACTCGAGACAAGTTGTCAGGAAAACAAACTTGTTTTCCTGACACAATATCATCCTTAGGACCCAGGATGAGTTCACACGCAAGAGCCACACGTGCATTCAAACAGTCCATAGGAAAGCATTTGATTGGATAACTCGAGACAAGGTGCTACAGCTGTTAAAGAAAATTAATGTAAATAAAGCTCCAGGGCCTGACGGTATTCACCCACGAGTACCTAAGTGGGGAAATAAGTGAACCTTTGTATTTAATTTTTCAAGATTCTTTTGTTTCAGGTATTGTACTGGAGGATTGGAGGAAGGCAGATGTCGTTCCTATATTTAAAAAGGGTTCAAAATCCTTGCCTGGAAATTATAGACCTGTGAGCTTAACTGTGACTGGGAAAATATTTGAAGGGCTATTAAGGGATAATATTCAGGAATTCATTGGGAAGAACTTTATTAGCAATAATCAGCATGGTTCTATGAAACATTGGTCATGTCAAACTAACCTAATTGCATTCTACGAAGAAGTAAGTAGAAGTATAAATCAGGG